ACCATGATCCAGACAATCTGCACTCGGACTTCTTCTATCTCTGTAAGTACAATGGAAGCCCAGTGTGCTACTCCCACCAACGTTATTCAGTCTCACAAACCACCCCAGTCAAATAGACGGGACGAAGCATCCAGATCAAGCTTATTCCCCCAGTATTCCACCCCTTCGTGCGCGTACTCATCTGGCATACAATCGGCAACACCAAAGTACCGCCACAGAGCTTCCTTCTTCTGCACTTTTCCAGAGGCAGTGTAAGGCACTTCCTCTTCCTCTTCGAGCAATCGCAGTATCGTCGGCAGCTTATACGAAACCATCCCAGCACGAGCGAGGTCATCACGGATAATTCGAAGGTCGATGTTATGCTGTTGGTCATCGTCGTCTTGCTTGCATAGCCGAACAAGCGCAGCGACCAGTCCGCCGGCCTCGCGGTCTCGCACGGGGAGAACGTGAGCTTCGCTTATATATGGAAGATTCATCAGACGTTGCTCGAGCTCCAGGACAGATATCGTATATTCGTGAAAACGAATCCCTATACAGTCATCGTTAGTTGACTCAGTCTGGCTAGTCCCCTCAAGTTGAGAAAACGTACAGTCACAGGAGTTCCGGCCGTCAAAGTAATAATCTTCACCAACGCGGTGGGCCCGATCCCCCGTCTTGTAGAAGCCGTCGTCGTCAAAGCAAGCACGCGTTGCCTCCCCATCGTCGAAATACCTACGGTAGGTTAGAGAAGCCACAAAAGACGTTCAAGAGCGACAAGGCCTTACCCGATGAACATGTTGGGCGTTTTGACCAGCACTTCTCCATGATCGCCCTCAGAAAGCTTCACGGCAACGCCCGGGAAAGGCTTCCCAACGTACCCCTGCATGATAATAAGCATGTGGGAACAGTATTTACGGTGATATGTATACTGACCTCAGATATGGATGAACCCTCTGGAGTGGCCATAACTCCCCCGCCCATCTCCGTTATGCCGTACCCATTCCGGACATGCGTACCAGTCAAGTCATTGAACCGTTGCGCGAGACAAGGATTGAGCATAGAACCGCTTGTAAACACTAACTTGAGGCTTTTGCATCCATTGACATAGGCGTCGCACTCTTCCTCAGGAAGGCCATGAATCTCGTCGTCGTAATGCTCCACCAACCTCCTCAAAAGCGTCGGCGACACACTCATGTCCGTGATTCTCCCGCCACGCAAGATTTCCCAAAAGTCCCTTGGTTCGGATCCGTTCTTCATCATGTGCAGATTCTCGCCAACGAGCACGCTGTCGATGAGGCCCGTACCCCCGACCCAATGGACGGGACATGATGCAAGATAGACAACCTCGTGAGATGGAGGAGCGTCGGCAAAGTGGAACATCCGCCTCGGTAGAAGAACGCCTTTCGGCAGCCCAGTGGTGCCGGAAGTGAATAGGATAAGGCATCCATCATCTGGAGAGAAGGTCAATATGTCGTCGATTTCCCACTCAACTGGGCTTGTGTTCAGCGCAGCCGGTGCTCTTGACAGCTCAATCAGGCTCAATCCTTGACCTGGCTGAGTGTGTAGATGGTCTCTGAACGTTATGGCCTTGTCAAAAATGGTTGCCTCTGTGAGAAGGTACGTGACTTTCGTCTTCTTCAGGAAGTAACTTGCTTCTTCAGCGTTGACATCGGTAGCTTCGATCCATCAGTAACTTCCTCTAACAGTCTTGAGACCTCTCACTTACAGAGCGGTACGCAAATGCCTCCCAGAGCAGCAATCGCAAAGAAGCTCACAATGAAGTAGTATCCACTGTACGCAAGAAACCCGATGCATCTAGCATCCTTCTTCAGTGATCCATTTGCGTTGAAGGAAGACGCTGGAAGCTGCTCTCTCAGTATGTGACGCAGGTGTATCACATCGCGGATCAAGTCATCATAACCGGCATCGATACCATAGTCGTCATGGAACCACAAGTCAGGCTTCTCGAGGGACATTTGACGGAGTCTGGTGAATATGGCATCGTTCGGAAACTTTTCTTTCGCAATGGGGACGTCTTTGACCAGCGTCGGCTCCATGACTGGACTGCGATAGAGGGCGCCATAGAGCTTCGATGCCGCGATGGACTTGAGCTTTCCAAAGAAGTAGGCGAGAGAGAGCATTTTCGCAATTATAACAAGGGCTCGAC